TTATAGAGGAATACTCTTGGGGGATGCAGAAGCCAACCAGAAGCAGTAACTATGACGTGCCTCATCAAAAAAAAGGACCCAAACTGTCCGAACTGCCTTCTCTCGACTCATGCGGGTGCTCGTCCTGCAGATTGTGTATTTCAGGCAAAGCTCCAATCACACAGATTCCACCGCTTGATTGTCACGCGTACGGTCAAGAGACAAGCAGCTAAGCATTTGGCCCCATAACACGTTTCAGTTTGAAGCCCTGTTTGGCCAGCTCCCGAGTACTGGCGTCAATTTTGTTCTAAAACCCTCCGAAGGGCAAGGCTCCACAAGAAGTATTTGCTACGAGTAGTGGCCGGTGCAAGTTTTTTTGGTCGCACGGGCACTGCAAATCCAGCGTGAGGCCAAGCATTTGGCTTCATCCACGTTTCAGTTGGAAACCATGCTGTGCCATCTACAAAGTGTTGGCGACCAAATTTTGCTGCAACCCTCCGACAGAAAAGTCTCCGCACAAGAAATAGCTGCAGCTGACTCGTCCAATCTTGTGAGAGTGTCGGCATTGGGGGGGATTAATGGGTCTGACACACTTGACCCACTTGCCCCACTTGACGCACTTGACCCACTTGACCCACTTGCCCCACTTGCCCCACTTGCCCCGAACCGAGTGGAGCGAGTGGAGCGAGTGGGGCGAGTGGGGCCACGAGTGGAGCGAGTGGGGCGAGTGGGGCGAGGGGCGAGAGTGGGGCGAGTGGGGCGAGTGGGGCGAGTGGGGGCAAGTGGGGCGAGTGGGACGGGCCGGTTAATTTTCCCCCTCCTGCGGTCGCAATGAATCTTGTTGGTCAAATGCATGTTGCAAATGCAGTGTAAGGCCAAGCATTTAGCTCCATGCACGTTTCAGCTTGAAGCCCTGTTCTGCCCCATCTCCAAAGTACTGGCGTGAAAATTTACCCTCCGAAAGGCATGTCTCTGCACCAGACGTCGCTGCGAGTGACCAGTACAAGTTTTCTGGCATTGCAAATCATGGACTGAGGCCAAGCATTTAGCTTCATTCAAGTTCAGTTTGAAGCCCTGTGTTACCATCTCCCCCATCTCCCCGGTCCTGGCATGAAAATTGTGCAAAGGCAGGTCTCTGGACAAGAAGTCGCTGCGAGCAACCAGTCCAGGTTGTTTGGTCAAGTGCGCGTCGAAAATCATGGCATTGCACCAAGCATTTAGCTCATTTCCGTTTGAGACCTTGTTCCACCGTCTTGAAAGTACTGGCGTCGGAATTTTGCTACGACCCCCCGAAAGGCAAGTCCCTCTCCAAGAAGCAGCGGCTGGTTTGCTTTGCTGCGAGAAGAGCCGGCCATGACAGGATGCTCCTCCTGCAGCGGCTCCCATAACATTGAAGTTGGGTGGAGAGGTCCCACAATATCACATTGTTGTAAAACCCAGAAAATGGCTGCGCAGGGGACGCAAGGCTGTCCTATGTTAGATGCTGCCTGAAGCTGGAGGTCGGCGCTTGCAGGCTCTGAGCCAGAGCGAAAGCAAGGTTCGTCCTGCACCAAAAAGCAGGGGCCGTTTCAGTCCCCCAAAATGCGTGCTATTTCGTAATGCCGACATGGTCCCTCCAGAGTAAGATCCGAAAAATTGCAAATTCATCGGCGCCTCAATGACAATTTCTGCGTTTACGCTCAAAACTTGAACGATCCTATGAAATCTCAGGGATGGGGGTGAGGTCAGAGTTGGCTGATGACTTGGGCTCTTCGTAGAGATCTGAGCAGAATCTACATAGCATCTAGCCGAATGGACTGCCTCCACTCTGAAACAAAACACATGCACGTTTGCCACGCTTTTTTTTATGTAGCGGCAGTTGGCATGTCAGGAAAAGTTTGTCTTGCAAGTCAAGCTTCAAACGGCTGCATTAAGCTGCCAGATTCTGGTCAGGCCTGCAGGAAAATTGGCTTCCCACTTCAACAACCTGAAAGATCTGAAAGTGCCGAGCCACTGCAAAAGCTGTCTGCCCCAGCACGGCAGAGGTCAGCATGTGCATAGAATCCGGGTTGGGGCACTCTGCAAAAGCTGAAATGTCGACATGCCTGTACGGCCCGTTACTAAAACAAGATCAAACGACCAAAACCGCGGCCTCTGCCCTCTGGGTTCCAGAGGATTTTGGTTGATGAAGCGGAGAAGCCTAGTAGCTTGTCTGCTCCTCCTCCTCCCTGTCGCAGACAGGTTATTTCCGTGCTTCTGCGGTGTTCAAAGAAGGCATTGTATCCTGATTTACCGACTGTTCTGAACAAACACGCGGGACAGGAAGTGGAAATCAGACTTGTCAAAATGCTTAAAAGGTGTCGGCACGCATCCTACAGAATCAGCCGAGAAAAGCAGTGCATCATGAAATCATCGCTTCATGTCCGTGCTTCAGATTATCGTAAGCGATCAAACCCCATGTGAATTTCCAGTGCACAACCGAAACTTCTTGCCGGCCCTGAGCCAGTGAGGTCAAATAGCAGTGAGCACATAGCTTAGCCGATCAGCCGTGGCTTCCCAGCAACCGATACCAGGTTGATGCAGTAGCGGTTGCCGTTGAAATCCTTCAGTCATGAACATCTTCGAGGTCAAGACAGTCACAATATTGGATAGATGCAGGAGGTGAGTCGGAGGCCTGCAAGAGCAAGGGAAGCCTGTGCCCAGAAAACGAGATGAAGCAAGTCGGCAAATGCTACAAGAACCCTGACGGTCAGCAGGTTCCGGAATATGAGCCTGCATCTCTCTAAGCACGCCTGCAGCAATCAAGTACAGTCCCCCCTACCTACAGCACATCCAAAGCCCGTCTTGAAACCCTGCGCTTTGGGCAGCAACTTTCTTTATGAACCCTGCAGGTGCTCACCTGCAAGATAACATGACAAGGCGCTGGGATGTTGTGACCGAGGTGGGTCCCATCCACTGAGACGCACTCGCCACCAGGCAAGCAGCGAACATTCTCCCAGACAACCTCCTCAAATTTGAAACTCAACGCAGGGCGAAGGCTTCATAGATCTAGGATTATGTGCAGCTATCCATCTGCCGCAAGAAAGATCGTCCGAGAACAACACTGACTCTTGCACACCATCTCGATCATGAAGATAATGACTACACAGCCCACGTCGGCGAGCCAAATGAAACTCCCACTCTTCCGTGTCTATACCTGCAAGCAATTAAGGCTCCTCATCGCGGAAGGAAGGCCAGCCATGGGAAAGGGACTCCTCGTCATCAGCAACACAAGTCACGTTTGCCTGTATTAAATGTAGAGGATTTCCAGGGGACATGAACAAATTCTGGAGACGGACTGCAAAGGACACTCAATGGGATGCCGACAGCTCACAGCACAACTGCAACTTGGTTGCACTGCCAAGGTCCTGCCGGACCCTTCACCGGGCACTGTTGGAAAAGAATTGCGAGTGAAACCCTTCGGCCACTGTGACAACTCCATGCGAAAACGCCTGGTAAGCCTTTGGGATGACAATTTTTTGAGCGCAGGTTTAGTAACTGAACATGCTGAGTTTGCATACGGCGGGCCTTCTCAAACTCCTCCCAGGTCCTGCATGTGCTTCCAGAGTCTGACATGGAACGAGTCATCACACTTCAAGGTCAAAATAATCTTTCGCGAGCCCTTTCTCAACATCATTTGGGGACTGCGTCTAACTCATGAAGATTAAGGTGGCGAAACCCTTACTTAGTCCCTTAGTCCTGCCCCTCGGAGCCATGAAGAGTGGTTTACCAGTCACGGAGTCATAGAAGGTCTCGCCCTCGAGGTGATTCAGCCAAGGTGATTGACTTGTATACTTGGGCTGCTTTTCACTAACACGTCCTCGACAATACCACGCAATAAGTCAGAATAGATGCACAAGCATGGTGCTGCATCAGAGACCCGGAGCAGCGTAACCTAAGTGCTTCGCAGGTACCTCACGGTTGGCTTCTTTGAGAAAGGCTGTCGAGCGCCAGTAGCCGGCATACTCTGCGAAGTGGCGATTGAAGCTGCAGATCCTGCTGCAAGCAGAGGTTTCGTCCCTCTGTTCCAAATATACAAGCTAGAGGAATTATCAGGAGTGTGCAGTCACGAATAGGAGCAAGAGCTGAGAATCCGTTTAATTGTGGTTGACCTTCACCTTGCCATTTGTGTACTTTGCTTCACTCATCGTACTTGGCAATGCAGCACATGATATGCAGTAATCTGTTGACAAAATTGATTTTACCTTGCTCATCCTCATTTTACTCCTTATGAACACAGCTCCCATGAATGCCACTTTTGTCATTTTACGTACGTCATGAATTCGCGACCCAAACAGAGGTTTTAGGTTTAGGCTTTTCTGCAGCTTGCTTCATCACAACGTCTCTTGACTTGATGTCCGTCCTACTGAAACTGAACTTTGATATGATGCCTACTACTGGAATACAACCATTGATAAAGCAAAAATTTAAAAACCAAATGAAAAGCCCATAGTGAGGACCTCGGAAACAAATAGGGTAGGGGTCCACTTAAGGGGTCCATGCAAAGGACCTTAGACACCGGCATTAATCGATTCCTTAGGAAATGAATCATGTCAACTGTTTCATGCTCCAAGTGAGCCATAATCATAGTCTGAAAAGCTTGAAAACCAGGGCTGATGGAATCCAAGCTGGGCTTGCAATGACCTGCAAGTTTTTTTCTACATTTGCTAAGCCTCAGCTCTGTGACCCAAGCAACTGAGATGCTTGTGCGGTGTAGAAGTACAAGGTTTGGGGCTCTGACAGCCTTGAAGGAGAGTTTCCTTGTAGCTTGAGCCCTGGCCAGCGGGAGCAAGTCCGATTGACAGAAGGCCTGTCTGCGGTGTTCCAGTCGACACTCCATCGAAGACCCTCCTTGCATATGCCGTAGTGCGCAGCATGATGACTACTAGGACTTCGTTAGAGCCGTACTGAATCATTGTTGTAGATCTGATTCCCCCTCCTGGTTCGGCACCAGACCATGCTAGGGCTGCTACTAACCATGCTGCTATTGTTAATTTGCATGGTGATGCTGACACTGATGCTCACGGTGCAGCTGTCATGCGACACATGGCAGTTGTTGATTGTTAACTTTATCTCGTGCAGTGCGCAAAACTCAGCGCTTCGGGTACTACTTCCATTGGTTTCAACATCTTCAAATACGCTAAAATGTCATTGAGATCTCTTGCTGAGAACAAGACACAAGGAGATGATCCCGCTTACACGGAAAGCCTTTTTCCAGCAGCCTTGTTTTTCTTCATCTACAATGGATGGAAAAGGTTTGCTTGATTCTCAACTACTTGCTCTGGCCACTTCCTGATGATGCTGAATACCTCCTGTTTGCAACGACAGTAAAGTTTATAGTCCAGGACTCGCTTGAGGCTACCCCCTTGGCAAATAATGCTGGATACCACTCGCATGAACTCCGAACTGATCACTGCCCACTTCTTATGGTGACCCGCTACATGTTCACTACTGAGATCTGCTGAGTGTTCGACACCTGTTGATCAATTGAAGCTTCCTCAACCACCACCACCACCGCCGCCGCCGCCGCCGCCCCCGCCACCGCCAGCTGTTGAAGCTGCCCTGTTGCACGTGAACAGTGCGACAAACACGTCCTGCAACACCAGCTAGTGCCATGTCTGCAGCAAGAAGCAAAATCTCCCTACAGGGCTCAGTAGGATTCTGACTCCATTGCGAAGGTTTTACATGAGGGTCTTTGGGCTCGAACTGACAGGTCGGGATGTAGGCCTCATACAATTCTACTGGGCATGAAGGAAGCATTGGCTCTTGCCAAATCACGGAAGGTTTCAAAGTAATTCCAGATTATCATCATCTGGCACGCGCCCTGTAGTGAGCTGAATACATCCTGCAAAAACTACATGTGGCCAAACCTTGCCTGCACTGGCCGGTCAGTCGAGCCATGACTCTTTGGCGTCATGATGTCATCACTGCCTTCCATCGGTCATGGAATCCAAGCGCACAAATTCTTACTACGTATTCTTAACCAGCCCCTGTAAGCGCACGGCAGTTCGAATGGCTTGTCTGCAAGGAGATTCCAAAACCTCACCTTGATGCCCTTCACATTCATTCATCCCGCCCATCCTTGCACTGGGTACTGGCCGGCTCGGGCCGGGCGTAGCTTTGTCAAAGCGGCGCCAGTCAGTGCCAGTGCACCAACAAGCCCACGGCGCCAGGAGCCCTGCATGAGGGTCTGAAATGGGTTGACAGTGGTCGCATGGGTAGCTCCTGAGATTTGTGATTTGGCATTGCTGGAGCACTTGGAGAGATGTTATTCTTTGAATTTTCTCAATTCTGCATGCCGTGCAAATTCTTGGTGTTCATGGGCCCTCCAAATTCGGGAGTTCTTGAAATTGACGCATGACAAGTGGTTTCAAACAAATTTGAGAAGAAGCCATTGATTGGCGTGGAAATATCCAGGCAAAGGTCAATTGCAAAATGTTTCTAATTGTGATCTATCAAGCTCGGAAAAGGAAGCCTTAACGTGGTGCGGGAATCGAAACTTAGGAACGTGCCTTCAATGATGTGAGGACTCTGACTTGCAGCACGAAGACTTTAACTATAAGTGGTCACTTGAGCGATGATCTGTGCTCAAGCCGGACAGTGCGGGCTGTCGCAGATTCCATGTGGGCAAGTCACAAGTTTGTCGAAGCAGCACGGCCAATATTGCAACGCCTTTTGATTGTTCAAACCAGCTCCACAACGTTTCGATCTGATTGCGTGCGTGCACTTCACATTCACATCAATCGCCACGCTAGTCTGCCTTGAAAACTCAACCATGGCAATCCTGCAAACGAGCCAACCCTCTCCCTTTGTTGTTGTTCTTTAAGCACGTTTGCAATCGCGCCGACCACACTTTAAGCGAACTTGCGCTTTGGCTTTAGTAACAGCACATGAGACGCTCATTCACCTTGGTTATTTTCATGGTGGCAGTCGATGAATACAACGAGACCTCGCGGTTCAAGGTTGCCAGGCCTCCGCTGCAGGTTTTTTGTTGGAGGCTTCTCCTTCACACGAGAAATATGATGACAGCCATCCATCTTCATGTCTCTTACATACGCGTCGTAATCCTTGCCATGGAAACGCACATTGTTTAAGCTTAAATGCCCATAGACCAACAACTACCTTCATGCAATTCGTTCGTCAACACACTGTGCATATCATGCTGAAACGACATGTTTGTTGTCGTTCAACACACAGGCAAGCACACCATTTCTCCTTCGTCGGCTTTGGCACCGCGTGACACGGCACCACGCAAGCTGCGGGGTGCTAAGCCAGGCCTCGAAGCACTTCAAATGAACATGTCAAATCTGCCACGAATATCGCATGCCGTCAAGCAACGCCACAAACCCCAAGCTCCACAAGCTGGAGACCCAGGTCGCAAAGACAAAAGCCACGAGGAGCCGCATGCTGGCAAAGCAAATGAGGCCCAAATTACTTTGCATTCGCATTGTGCAACAACATCATTTGTTTGAAAAAACTCTCGGCATGTTTATGTAAACATGCAAACCTTAAGCTCATTGCACTTGCACACGGGCACTTGATCCAAGAAGATTATTTGTTCAACTCACGCAACATGCGCACAAACTGAATTAATTGACTGTGCTAAAACCAAGGTCCAAAGGTTTACGTACTGCATATTTACTTTAATGCAAAAACATGCTCATGTTGTTTAAACATTGAAGTCTGTCTAAACTCAAACTCACGTAAAAACAAACGACGAAACATGCAAGGATGAAAGTTCAATGCCGCGATCAGTAAAACATCCACGAAACGTTGACGTTTGCGAAACCTGAATGCTTGTTTTGGCGGGCGTCTTGCAGCTTTTTTTTTACGCCATCCTGGAACCAAAGGCCCGTTGCAAAATTTGACGACGCCAAAAATATATGCATGTTCATGTGTGTAGTTTGCCTAGTGCAGTGCAGCAGTAACAAAAAGCATGCAAGCGGAGCCCTTCTTTTTGTCCACAGGGTAGCTGGAGTTAGCTTCGCGTGCTGGAGCAAGCAGGCTTTGCCCGCGGGCTCCAGCATGCCTATATCGCAGTGTCTTAGGGGGCCTACTTCAGTCTCCAGCAACCCTGTGTCACGGCTAGCTGACTTCTCCCCTCACCGCGTCAGGGGTGTTGGAGGCGTACCTGACTGCGAGGTGACAGGCTTGCAAGGCAGGGCAAAGCTGTAGCAAGAAGCTAGGCTGTGCAAAGGCAGCGGCCTTTTGCGCGACTGAAAGTGCGGTCAGGTGCTTGCCTGCAGAAAGACCTGTTGCCAGTCGGCATCTGGCGGGTGCAACTGGATGCGACCGGTGCATGCCGCGAGCTGAGCGAGCGAGAACGTGTGCCTCTTGTGGGAGCGGTGCGCAAAGCGCTGCAACTTATTCCGGCTGAGTTCGTCAGCCCAGGTGTTTTTCTCGCACGCAATGTGCGTGACCTGGAGGCGAACATGGTTGCATGCCGACCAGGCAGCGACATCTTGCAGGAAGTCGCACAAGGGCTGTGTAGTGGTGAACAGCTTGTTGGTGCCAGCCTCAGCGCTGGTGTTGTCGCTTGCAGAGGGCAGGCAGAACTTCCAGTGCTTGGCCGTGAGGCGGTGCTTGGCCATCATGGCCAGTGCGAGCTGCGCGAGCGTCTCAAAACAGGCAATATAGGCCTGCGCCCCCTTAGTCAGCTTGGGGTAGTGCCTGCGCACCTCTGGCATGCTCCACTGTTGCGCGAACCAGCAGAAATCAGAGGACGTGCTTATCCATCCTCCGATGCCAACTATGTCTCCATCTGCTCGCGCGTCCGCGGCGGCCATGCGGTGCAGAACTGGGGCCTGGCGCAAGACCACGCGGGCGTGCCCAAAGCAGGAGTGCAGCCAATGCAGGCAGATGCGGCTGTCCTTGCAGAGGTGAATCTTGTGTCGGGTTGGATCCTGCACGCGGACCCAAGTTTCCTGGTGCGCGCACGGCACGAGTGGGATGCTGGATTTGTCTGCGACTGCATGTCCGGCCACTTCGAGGACCTTTCCCCCGAGAGGCAGCCAGAGGCCTGCCGGAGAGCGTGCTATCGTGCCGTCCGGCGTGAGGGCGTGGAGGACATGCTGCAACATGTTTGGGTGCACTGAGTGCAACGTGCCCCGCTTACTATGCAAGTCTTTGTAGAGGGGGGCCATGTAAGGTCTAAGGCGTGACTGTCTCAAAGTCGAGGTTGTAGAGCCAGCCGCACCAGACGATGCTATGGCCGAGCTGAGCTTTGCGCCAGCTTATGGGGGCATGGACGCAGGCAAGGAGGCAGACCAGGAGGCATGTCTGCTCGACAAAGGTGCGTTTGGCAAGCATGGCCAGGAGGTCGTCCACATACAACCAGGCCTTGTGCGAGAATTGCGCTAGCAGTGCGTGCATGATGCGCAGCACAGGAGTCCTCCGACTCTCTGCCACCAATAGGCGCTAAATTTGGCGCCAAAGTGACAAACGGTGTAGTGGTAGAGCTTGTGAAAGACTTTTCAACTCCACAAAAGCGCCTGCAGATTCAATCCAAGATCTGGTAACTTGCCACGTGAGACGTGTGGAAAATCATATGTATGAGGATGGAATGCCGTGGAAATTACAAGTTTAGCACCCCTCCTCAGGCTTGAACACAGCGTGTGAAGACTGCAGCCAAAAGTCGCATGAGCACTCTGTCATGCTGTCCGAACAACTTTACACTTATGTGCAGGGCATCCGGATTTTGCCCAAAACATGGAAAACCAACTCATCACCTGGGCTCTCCTGACCCAAATGAGCAAAATATGCATCCCTCGCATCATCTTTCAAAGATGGTAGAGTTGAACACATCTACACTTTAAACACCAGAAGCACCTAACAAGCTAGAAGCTGCACATGCATACATTCAGTTAGCAACTACACAACTTCAGCTCGTATCAGGTGTACTTGACGCATGAACTCAGTACATGTGACGTTTCCGACGCCATCAGCAGCGGTCACCATACTCGCTTACAATGCCACTCATCGGCCCCTACGCTTCCGCACAACTGGTGGGTTTGAACCTGGAAGTACGTTTGGTCTGCATTGCCCGCATGGTGCCAAATGAAGCCGCCTATGATGTTCAGCTGTGTATGTAGCAATCCTTGACGCCGATTTGAGGCATCCACATCCAGGTTCATGATAAACTAGCCCATGACCTGGACAAAACCTCAACTGCGGAAACACGGCTGCTGCTGCTGCTTCTGGCACCTGTGGTACTGGGCCCGGATTCCAACCACACTGATTTGGATCATACGGCTCAAACCTCTGTTGCTCTGCATTTGGTTCACATACTCCCTCTCCTTGACCATCACGCTGCTGTTGGTCTTCTCCTTGATCGTCTTGTTCATCTCCCTCACTTTCGCTATCT